AGATAGACAGACAGATAGATAGATAGATAGATAGATAGATAGACAGATAGATAGATAGATAGATAGATAGATAGATAGATAGATAGATAGATAGATAGATAGAAGATAGATAGATAGACAGATAGATAGATAGATAGATAGATAGATAGATAGATAGATAGATAGATAGATAGATAGAAGACAGAGATAGATGGATAGAAGATGGATAGATAGACAGATAGATAGATAGATAGATAGATAGATAGATAGATAGATAGATAGATAGATAGATAGATAGATAGATAGATAGATAGATGGATGGATGGATGGATGGATGGATGGATGGATGGATGGATGGATGGATGGATGGATGGATGGATGGATGGATGGATGGATGGATGGATGGATGGATGGATGGATGGATGGATGGATGGATGGATGGATGGATGGATGGATGGATGGATGGATGGATGGATGGATGGATGGATGGATGGATGGATGGATGGATGGATGGATGGATGGATGGATGGATGGATAGATAGATAGATGGATTGATGGATGGATGGATGGATGGATGGATGGATGGATGGATGGATGGATGGATGGATAGATAGATAGATAGATAGATGGACAGATAGATAGAAGGGCAATATAACTTTAAAATCTTAAATCAAGAATTAAGACGTTTTGGTCTGGAAAGCAGAAAACTATTTCCAAAATGAAGCTGCATTTTGTGTTAATGGAGATACATGTACTCTAGGAAACAGATATTTAAATGAATGAATGAATTGCACACAATGGAAAGTCACCTCTAAAGCTATAAAGCTCTTTCTGATTGGTCCGACCGACGAGCGCTGAGAAATGTAACGCGTATCACGTGACCCCGCCGTCTACTTCAACAGCTTCCTGAATTCTGATGCTAACGACGGTCATATATTTTATTAGCTCTTGAATTGAAAATACACCGTTTAAAAAATAGAAAATTAAATTGTCGTGTGTTTTATTTCTGTGATCCCGTTGTTTGGAGTGTCGATTGGCCCTTTTGCGCTCCGCCTGCGTGCGTTTACGGCATCAGCGTGCGCCGAGTTCAGTGCGTTTACGGCATCAGCGTGCGCCGAGTTCAACATGGCGAGCGTTGTTTAGCTGTTGTTGATCTGCGGTTCCGAATAAACCCACAATCGCTGAATCCGGCAGCCTCTCTCATCTGCATCCACCATGAGCGATGAGAAGCAAACAGAGGGTCGTAACTTCTTCATGGGTTTTGATGATCTGAGCGACAGCAGCAGTGACTCGGACGCTCGCGAGTCCGGTAAGAAGAGCCGAGGCGAACCGGAACCGTCAGGATCGTCTGAAGCGCAGAGCCGCAAACGAGCCGCCGAACCGCTGCCGAAGCCCGACGATCTGTTCCGATCCGTCAGCAAACCCACGTTCCTCTACAACCCGCTGAATAAAGTCATCGACTGGGACAGAAGAGCCGTCAAAGCGCCAGAAGAGGTCATTATTTTATTATTATACAACATTGAAGAAAACCGTGTGCGTACTGCGTAGCCATCTTTAGAATAGACCTTTTTTATTTTGTGTGGTAGCCCAGCATCGCTGTTGAGTTGTAATGATGTGCTTTATTATAGAGTTAACATGTAAGTTATCATGTGCATATCCATCTATCTATCTATCGTTCTATCCATCGTTCTATCCATCGTTCTATCTATCGTTTTATCCATCTATCGTTTTATCCATCTATCGTTTTATCCATCTATCGTTCTATCCATCTATCGGTCTGTCCATCTATCCATCCATCTATCGTTCTATCCATCTATTTATCTATCATCTATCTATAGTTTTATCCAACTATCTATCATTCTATCTATCTATCGTTCTATCCATCTATCTATCTATCGTTCTATCCATCTATCTATCGTTCTATCCATCTATCGTTTTATCCATCTATCTATCTATCGTTCTATCAATCTATCGTTCTATCCATCTATTTATCTATCATCTATCATTCTATCCATCTATCTATCGTTCTATCAATCTATCGTTCTATCGTTCTATCTATCGTTCTATCCATCTATCTATCTATCGTTCTATCCATCTATCTATCTATCGTTCTATCCATCTATCTATC